CAGTATATTACTTTGCAGTTTATTTATTGTTCTCCCTTTTTTTCCCTGATTTTTCACTCTGTTTTTTGTGCTGTGTTGCACAAAACTGACATTAACTGTGGTGCAAGATGAGGAAGGGCGAATCGGCTTGTAAAACCCATCCAACAAGCGGGATAGAGCAGCAAATTCAGCTAATGCAGCCAAATGGCATTAATTAGCGGCAACAAACAGTGAAATATTATTTTAGAGATGAGGTAATTAAGTGCAAATTAGAATTAAGGACAAGTGAGCGGGTGAGGGGGAGGAGAATTCTAGAAGAAGGGTTACAGGAGAACTATGTCTATTAAAGGGAACTGAAAAAACTGCTACAGTACATGTAGACCATTTAGGGAATAAAGAAAAATGCTTTTTGTTGCAAACTTTAGTTGGTTTTATAAAGTTAAGAAGGAAATGTGTATCTATCTGTCTCTGTATAATATATATATATATATATATATAAAAAATAGCGACCTGCTACTGACTGGCACTGGCTCCGAGACACTCTGGCTGAGGGCACACGCCCTCCGAAAAAGGGACTTGTTGTTAATGTTTTTTGTTAGTTTAAAATACATGTATGTGTTACATGTGGCGTTCTGTGTCATGGAGTGGGGTAATGTGTGAGTTTTGTGTATGAGGGTGAGTCACCGTCAGGGTGAAGCCTCTGGCTATTGGAACCTTGTATCTCTATGTTTGTCATTTTTCAGTTTTTAACAGAATTTGAAAATGTCTGTTGCCCTTTACGTTGGGTGTAAATTTCATTATGGATGGACTGAAAGAAATGGCCCAAATTACTTGGATAAAGCTCCACTTACCATATAGGTGTACTTCGTGTATCTACAATTACAGACTGTAGTTCATCTATTTCTTTGCGTACTTTGTTGTATACTTTCAACCTGTTTTCCAGTGGTCAGAACCCCCACAGAGTGTTAGTCCACCTTGTAGATGTAAAGTCAGAGACAGTAGCTCATCTGTTGCTGCACAGTTTGTGTTAATCATCCTCTAGTTTTTCATCAGTGGTCACAGAATGTGCTTGGCTGGATATTTGTGGTTGGTGGACTATTTCCAGCGGTGACACTGAGGTTTTTAAAACTAAACAATTGACAAAAATTGTAGACACAAGGAGGCATACTTAATGAAGTGGCTGGTCAGGGTGTGTGTGTGTGTGTGTGTGTGTGTGTGTGTGTGTTTTCTTCCATCTTCAGGTGTCTACATATTTAAACCGACACAATGCTATGGAAAACCAGCAAATGTTACAATAACTAATCTAAACTATGAAAGCATTTTATTTTTAATTCAGTGTTGTACTGTACATCGACACATGGAAGCTGAGAACAGTTAAGAGCGTCTGTTAAATGTCCTTTTAATGAAACATGCAGTGGATCAGTGTTCCTTGAGTATTGACGACATCCATGATATGCTCAGAAGTGCTTGTTGTGATATTTGTCTCCTGATCTTGCTTTACAGGGAAGATAAAGTAGGGAAGACTCTGTCCAAAGTAAAGGGATCTCCTCTTAAATGCTCCTCACTTCAGAAACAGTCATCATGTGTTGTGGAATGACCCACACCCTCTCAGTTTGCACTTGTGGCTGGACTCTCTGCCACGCTATGCTGAAAAGATGATGAAAGGAGCCGTTACTCAGAGGCTGTGCCGTGACACCTTCTCCAGACTGCTGTTCTAGTCCTTCTTTAGCCCAGGCTGGGGTCCACACCCAACTTATGACTGTTTAGGAAGATCGCAGGCCTCCCATAATGGGCATGTCTTTGCAGGATGAGCTCTTTAATGTCAGCTCGCGTGCACAGAGAGAAAACCTGTCTGCTGCCAGCTTTTCGTTGTGTGAATACCCCCAGTAATTTCATCCACAGAGTTAACAATTAAAGGATTCTAGAAACTGAAAAAGAGAAATCCATAGTACTTATGTTATCTTCCAGCTTGCATGAACAACATTATTTGGTAGTAATACATTCTGGCGTTAATGTTTAATGAGACATTTGCTACTATATAGTGAAGAGGTTTTGTTGGTGTATCCCTTGTTGATGGAATTTCAATTAATCTTATTCAGTGGATGTGTTGAATTAATCATTTAAGACAACTTTATCAAAATGACTGTAGGCAGCTGTCTTGAATAGCTTTAGGGGGTGTACTGTGGCTCATAGCTCCACCTGTAATCTTAAATGGAATAGTACTGAACAGTTTTTTTTGTGGCTCCCTTTGGCTCGGATTGGGTCTAAGTTGCGACATTTGACGTCCATAATGTCTTCTCAGCTAGAAACATTTGCTCTTATAAATTGTAATAAGGGCTGCACAGTACATTGTATGTCACTTGTGATTCAACATTTGCTTTTGCAGTTCTGGTGTTGTAAAAGGCTGAATTATACAAATTATCCATTAATAAGTCTCATTAGCATTGTGTGCTGTGAACGTCTTGACCAATCTGAGCCAGATGAGTTTCTACAGGGGTTTTGATGAATCAAGGGTAAATGTTGGTCAAAATATAGTCCATTCGTTAGTCTTGATAGACCAGTGTGCTCTGAATATTTTGCAGGGCATATTTCAAACACCATGTGTAGCTATATAATCACAAGTTACATTCACCGAGCACTTCAATAGGTACATCTACCTTGTGTCTACATTTTTTGCTCATTTTATTAGCTCTACTTACCATATGGGTGCACCTTGTAGGTAAAGACTTTTACAGGACCATCACAGAGCAAGTATTATCTGGGTGGTGGATCATTCTCAGCACTGCAGTGACACTGCAGTCAGACAGAACTCCTAATCACTACAGTGTTTGTTGAGATCTCCCACTGACTGACTATGTGACTGACCATGTCACATGGTTGCTTGTGTCACTGCATGGTGCAGGTGTCTCACCGTGCTGCTGTCAGAGACATATACTGAGTTCTTTTTAAGTGTATTCATGACAGCATGTTCATCAGTAGTTCAGTTTTGTTTGGTTCTTTCATCGTTTGAAGCATAGGGGAGAGGGGTGCACAAACTAAGCTCAGGTAAAACATAACATGGCTGTTTTTTATGTAGTTAAGCAGATTCAAGTACAACATGCTTTGGCCATTTTCTCATATCCCCATAGCAATGTCATCTGCAAATTTTGACAGCAACCAGACAATAATTCTCAATATTCACAGCTTTTCTACCATTAAAGTAACACTTTTTTGCATCCTGTGTTTTAAATTTATTGCTAAGTTGTATGGTTAAGTCATAGAATTCACACCTACATTATTTAATCACCCTTTTGGTGCCCATAACACCACTTTATGCCGACCAGCCACTTTAAGTCTCTGTATCTACACTCAGTGTCCATTTTGTCAGCTCCATTTACCATATAGGCACACTTTACGGTCTGTAATTGTCTGTAACTAAAATGCTGTTTGTCCTTCACATTGCGTTAACATTTTATGATGAGCTTACTAATAGTAATGGGTCAACATTAAGGGGGCGGATCTTGCTACATTAACTTCCATTAAAAAGTCGGAAAGCTAATTTGGTTTAAACAACACAGAACTGTATTTAATTAATTTTGCATTGATTTACCAGACTTTTTAGTGACTTTTGTAACTGGTCCCCCCTAGAAACCCCTGCCTGTGGGGTAAATTGTGACATTTGCAGACCATAAGTTGGAATGTTTTCCAAAACGGCTAGACTACTATGGTCTGCACAAAGACTAATACAATACAAGGAAAGACTTTCAAGAACTTTGTGTTCTAGATGGCCAAAGTGGGCAAACAAAGACAAAAAAACACATTAAAGCAATACTTTCCGAAATGAGGCCTCTAGTTCTCATAGGTGTGGGTTATGAATGGTGACGTATAGTAAACAACATGCATTCTTCATCTAAAAATAGACCCTCCCCGTCCACCCGCTTTAGAACTTTGAAAACCTAAAATGAATCTCTGACCTGTTATCATTGCAGGCACCTGATCCTCCATTGCAGGCCTCTTTCAAGACAGCAGTTTTACTGAGATGGGAACAAAGATTTTTCTGTTCATGTATATGTTGAGTTAACAAGAGAGACTTGTGGAAATCACCACTTTCTGAAAATAAACTTGTATGGCTCTGACTAGATCTTCAGTTCTGTACTGCTGAGGGAAAACTTCTGAACTTTTGCTTCCTTTAAGAAGAGAATGGAAATTGACCGCTCTATTGGGCCTGTGACTGGAGTCTCATGAGCGGCCTCTTCATTTAAAGGAAGTTGTATGCTCAAAGCTGCTTCAGATTACTACCACATGTCTGCGAAGGCCAGCTCCAAGCAGCAAAACGGCTCCTGTTCTACCCTCTAATTTCTTATCCCAAAATTGGACATCTGAGTTTCAATGTGACGCTGTCCCTCCCTTCTTAGACTAGCACAGTGTGTTCTCACAGTGATTCTTCCCCCACTCTAGCAGCAGGATAACAATGAATCAGCCTCACCACTGGAGAAAACTCCATGCAGAGGCGTCTTGAGCTACAGGACAATGTTGCTCTGGTCTCTTTGCAGCATTAGGAAGTTCGGTACCAAGCCTCCTGTTGGGATCTTAACCCAAACAATGCTATCTCGGAGAGACGTGGATATGATGTCATTCTTATTGTATCCCCTCCTTCCAAAAGTGTTTTGCTTGTGGGGCAGCTAGTTCATCTTATCAGTGTACTGTTCTGGTCCTTTGCCTGCGTTGTCCCTCCGCAAAAATAGCTGAACACATTAGCGCGGTCACAATGAATTCATGAGGCATAAATCCATCACCAAGCAGAGTCTTATGAATGCAGAAAAATGTCAGGCTTTTACAGTTTGTGCAAATCATGGAGAAAGTTCAATGTCTGCGTAGGAGGGGGGTACAAGAGTTCTTTGTGTCACCTATATGGAAAGCCATTGGTTCAGATTGTCTGTCCCAGCATGCATTTTATCTTGGTGTGAATGCAACATTTGTCTGGTAGCGGGGGTCGGGTGCCTTCTATTGGCCAGCTCTCCCCTCTTCCCTGGGATTCTACACAGACTATGACACCAATCAAACGTCACTGTAGCCAACTTTGAGGTTCAGTAACCATGCCGTACTTCTATGAAGAGGGCTCTCAAAGAAGAAGTGGTGTTAATTTATTGACAGGGGAATAGGAAGAACTAGTTTTGTTTCATTAATGGCTTGGAGTTGATGGCTGGTTGTGTCTTTGGCAACTTCATTTTTATGTGCTCTGTTTGGGCACTCATACGTGGCATCAAATGGAATTAAAAACGGATGATGGGACCAATCATCCATTCTCTGTTGAAGTTATTGTCAAATATGCAGTTTAGTTCCTCTGAAATGGATGCCAGGCTTTTTTGGATATGGAAAGCGGTTCGGCTTTTGGCTTGGGTAGTCCCACTTTTTGAGCTTGCATGCCATGGATCTTGTTCAAAGCGAAAGTTTAATTGACAGATGAGGTAACTGTGCAGGTGCCTGATTTATGGGGAATTGTTTACCATTGACTGTTTTTAGTGGCTTGAAGGTAGTCCTTGTTTGAAGCAAAGATGGTCTTTGTATTGTTAGATACTGAAGGCTCAGTTGCAGGAGTTTGTCCACTGTATCAGGACTTGGGCAGTTTAACAGTTGATGAAATCATCAGTGAAGGTTTAAGAAAGTAAAGCGATCCTTTTTTGTAGCTTAGTGGAGCATCATGTTCCTTTACTGGAAGAAGCGGGGGGCCTATGAGCTGGAGACCCTCCCCCCCTCTTCAATGGAGCTGGGGGCTGAACACTACTCCTGGTCCTCCTCTTTGGATGTCATCCATGATCTTTATGGTAAGGCTGGATTCAGTTCTTCTTAAAAGGTTTTGAGTATGGTGAGAATAAACTCCCTTGAGAGTTGTTTGCCTGGATTTAAATGTATGGAAGAACAGTATGGAAACATTGTGAACATCTTTGTTCAATTATGTTTACATTTATTCAGAATAAGACGGTGTGTCATTCTAGCATATTCTGGAATATGCATGGAATATACACATGGAATATTCCACATACTGTTTAGAGAAGAGTAGGTTACACATTAGGAATGTTGATAAACTACAATTTAGATTTTCCAAGTGAGGCTTTTCAAAATTTCCCTTCCGCTGTCTATGTAACTGATAGCATTGGAGGGCACCAATACTAGTTCTTCAGTTCTAGCCAGACTGGGTCTAATTTCTGGCAAGCTCTGTATCTAGAGCCCTAATTTATGAAAGACATTGATTCCTGGAAATCATTTTAATACCATTGGCCAGCATTTTCACAACCTACTTTTTACGTTGTGATATCATGTGAAACATAAATGGGAACATTACATTTATTGTCTTGTTGAGAAGATATGAAAAGCATAATCAGAGCGTTGCCTGATTCAGAATTGCAGCTGTATTCCAATTACTGGGTGAAAATAAACATTTTTGATATCCTTGTTAACTTTTGTACAAAATAACAACGTCTGCTTGATGTAATCATCTTGATGATGCCAAATTTAGCTTCTAAAAAAAAAGATGCGAACCTTTTGGCTTCTACAGTTTCATAGTGTTCCAAAAAAGTTGGGACGTTATGTGAAATGTTTTCCTGGATTCCCTGAATCTTTTGATAATATTATGCATTGTAGAGGATGAAATACCTAAAAACCTTGCAAATACTTGTCGAGGATTATTGTTCTTAAACAGTCAGACTACTTCTGCAATTATTATATTTTTGGCAGAGTGACAAGTCTTGACCCATTCTTGCTCACGAAGGACTAGGCCTTTACTGGATGCTTCCTGTATACCCAAAATGATTACGGCACCTCTTCTAAAATGTTTCTGAATATTTAAGTACAATCCTAGTCTTAAATTGCCCTTGTGCTGCATGCTGCAGGTATTAATTCCAGAATGAGCGTATATTTACAAAAAACAATGATGTTAATAAGTTAAAACATTAAATATCTTGTCTGGATTTACAAATCTCCTTTCTTTTTTTTTATTTGTCCAAACCTTTTTTGGAATTGGCTGTATGCACAGTTTTGCCCAACAGGTTCTATGTATTAACTGTACCTTACATAGTATGTACCTGTTTATTATTTAGAAAGGAAACTGGATCTGGGCTTTAAAAGAAAGCAATGATTCTTGCTGTAGTCCTTACCTTTTACTTCAGAAAACTATATTTGCACTTTTGACATCATTTTATGGCATATGTACTTTTCTACTTACATTACATTGAAATTTAGTGGGTTTTTTTTGTTTTTTTTTACTTACCACCTTGTTACTCCAAATAAATAACATTTTACTATGTAATTTATAAGCTTAATAGCTAGAATGTGTTGGGCATTTCATTTAACTTAGTTAATCTGTCTTACTATCTCACTATCATGTTACTCAAAATGTTTCCATAGTACTTCAGAGTTTGTATTTCATAGTTGCTTGGTCATTACCTAGAACTTACCAAGAACTCTTCATTTAATATTTTGTGCGGGACTTTTGCCAGACTACATTCAGCATAAATAAAATAGCACACCAGTTTTGATGGTGGAAATTCCAATTTTAGGACTGTAACAAATGCATTTCCCCCTCTTTTCATGCAGTGGAAACTAGCTAAGTCTCATTGCCAGTACGATGGGCAATGTAGCCTCAAATGATATCCAAACCCAAAATGAAAATTTCATCAGGGTTTGCAGCTGGGAAACGGATTGTTTCACTGTGCCTCACGCTATGGAGAACAGATGACTGGAAACTCTTTTTATCCGACCGTACAGTCATTCAAGATTGGCGAACTGTAAGTCATCTGGTTCATTTGGTGTGCTCAAAATTCCTCTTCGTACCTTTGGGACGCTTTTGCCCGGAGAGGAATGCTTCGGCACAGAGACACTTCTTTGATGTCACATTGTTCGTTCTGTCTGTGATTAGGGCTAAGCCGCTACTGAAAACAGCTCTCAGCCTGTGCTCACTTAGCAAGACCCTGGCTGCTTGTTCCTGCTGCTCCCTAGCACAAAGCACACTCAAATTCCCAGACTGAAATGACTGTCGGTTGTACTAATGGGAGAACATGACTTGTTCTGCTCTTACAGCTTGTAACGGTGAGAGGAGAAATGCCACAGCCTAAGGTCACATTATGCAATCGTCTTATGAGGCCATTCTCTTTAAGATTAGCCACCACCAGTGTCTTTAGACATTCCTGTTATGTAACAGCAATGTAAAGATTCAGTAAGTAATATTTTGGGCTTTGGATGGCTTGCTCTGGTCACAGGGCGTTTAACATGGCTTCTGTGTTGATCCTGTACAATTTTCAGTGGCTGATGAACTTGAGTTTCTCATCACCGTACTTACATGAACAACACTTTAAGACGTTTTTACAAACCCAGTTTCAAGAAAGTTGGGACAGTAGATAAAATTCAAATAAAAACAGATTACAGTGATTTGTAAATCCACACCTGTATTTAATCAAAAACATTACAAACACACAATATTTAATGTTTTACCTTATCAACTTCATGTTTTTTGTAAATATATGCTCATTCTGAAATTGATACCTGCAGCACATTTCAAAAAAGTTGGGACAGAGTCGATTTAAGACTAACAGTGTTGTGAAGACCAGGTGAACCATGAGCTCTGTATTGAGCCATTGCGCGCTTAAATGTTTCTTTGCATGGTGAAAAAGTTCTTCAGATTGATGGAAAATATGTTGTGTATAGTTCTGTTGTTACAAGTTGTAACAATAGAAGAATGCTTTTTGGTGATATGTAGAACCATTTTCAAAATGGTTCTATACAGAACCATATACAACACATTCTCCATCAATCTAAAGAACGATTTCAACATGCAAAGAATCCATTTAAGCATGAAGAAGTTCTCTATAGAACTCATGGTTATAAACAGAATCATTACCGTTACTAAAGAACCCTTGAGACCCATCTTTTTTAAGTGTGTGTAAAAGGAGCGTTGACTTCCTTGACTTTTATGGGCAAAGATGAGTTGAGACTTACCACTTTGTGAAAAATGCATTAGCAAATACTGCAGTTGTTTAAGGACAGCATTGCTCAACTAGCAACTGAAAGGATTTTAGGTATTTCGCCCCCTCTCCAGTGCATAATATCATCAAAAGAAATATCTGTGTTTAAAGGGCAATGCCAAAAACCACAACTGAATGCCTGTGACCTTCGCCCTCAGACGGCACTGCTTTAAGGACCAGGAGGCTTCCGTGATGGATATCACCACATGGGCTCAGGAGTATTTTGACAGGCCATTGTCAATAAACCACAAACTGCATCCACAAATATGAGTTAAGACTGTATAATGCACAGCAGAAGCCACATATCAACAACATACAGAAATGCTGCAGGATTCTCTGGGCTTAAGCTCATCTAAAATATACTGATGCACAATGGAAATGCATATTGTGGTCTGACGAGTCATCCTTTCAGATTGTTTATTTATGGAAATAATGGACGTTGGGTTCTCTGGGCCAGAGAAGTAACCCATCCAGATTATTACCAGTGTAAAGTTCAAAAGCCAGGTTGTGCAACGGCAGACTTGTAGAACTGAAGAATGGCAAAATATTCCCCTTTCAAAGCTGGAACAGTTAGTGTCTTCAGTCCACAATTGTTGATTAAGTGCTGTTAAAAGGAAAGGTAGTGGAAGGTGGAAGGAAGCTTAAAGAATGGTAGAGCCAATATAAAAGTTACTGTCAGAGGGGGTCAAGGGACAGGGTCTCAATGTGTATGTGTCTGCCTACCCATACTATGCGACCACCCTTAATGTTGTGATGTTATGCACATTTTTTCCAGTTATATAATAAAGTTCCTGTTCCCTTATTATGTGTCCTGAGTAGATGTACATCCGACATATTCATACACCACTCACAATTGCATTCAGTTGCAAGGTTCGACAAGCTTTATAAAACATTCAGCCTCATGAATTTAACTTGTAATTTAGATTAGCTACATAATTTTGATTGTGCTTTTTAAAATGTTACAGTATTGAGCTGGACTGTGCTGTAGCATATTGAAATTAAACAGGTTGGAAATGGCAATGAAATTGCTGCCAAGCTAATGCTAGCTTAAGGACAAGAAAAGTACAGTTGGTCTATCCTAGAGGAAGGTTTGTGAACGAACTTTAAGTTGGCTTAACAAAACAGTTGCTGTGATATCCCAGATGGTTGCAAATATGTGAGTGTCTGTATCTAATGTCTTTGAGGGGCAGCGTAAGAGATGTCACTTGTGACCTAATTGGTGGAGGTTTTTCCACAACATTCTGCTATTCATGTCCTGTGGTGGGAAAAATGTGTTTGAATGAATGCTAAACAAAAACCGTCTGTGTGATCAGTCCCAAAAGGACAAGCAAGCTATTCCAGTATAGACACTACCATCCTGCAAAGTTGTGTGGTTGTAGCCTGAAATCTGTGACCTGTGAAAATGGTACCAACAAAAGACTCAAGCCAACTCAACGCCATTATTACTATTATTATCATTATTATTATTAATGTGCATTTATGGTCAACCAGTGCTAGAGTTTTGTATGTAAACTGTGTTCTTTCTCAGGCTGGGTTCTGTCAGGTCTGCCTGGCCGTTACTGTCACTCTCTGCTTTACCAGTGACTCCAGTTTTAGGACCTAGGGATGGGTTTGTTTCCGCCGTCCTTGTTTACAGGTTTTTGTTTCCCACTCCTGTAGGCGTATCTGTGTTTAGAGGGAATGAAACAATGTGAACACTTCTGAACTAACAGCAAGCCCCACTACCACTGCAGGCAACAGCAGCTGGGATGTGTTCGAATGGAACAAAGAGACACTATGCCAGACTGCCTTTTTAGCTGAGAGTGCAA